TAGGTGATAAACCCAGTAAAATTACCATAACTCGAGAAGGAAGGCCCATGGGCCCTTGTCCTTTTGGGCTTTTTCTAATCTCGTTGGACTCTACTTATCGGCAAAATATCGGCTTAAAAGCTTTGAATCACTTCGAACGGTTCCCTCGTTAGTGGCGCTAATTTCTGAAATGCTCCGATCACGTTTTCAGAGGGACTACTTCATATCAAATTGTAGCTTGACAAAAGACAAATCATCTCATGAAGTCAGATTTTTCGGCCTATTTTTTTTTCTCGAGAAAATTATTGATTAAGTTGATTAATACTGATTAAGGAAACTCGACGACCAATAAGAATACGGTATAATGGTATTATTTTATATTTGTTTGGATTGACCAGATTATATCGAATATTTCTCGGTTATAATCACTTTTCTAAAAAGAAGTAAAAACACAGTTTGATAGAGAATTTTTTTTTCTATCTACTAGTATTCATCAAAGTCTCGGCCCATTTAATTTTCTAAGAGGTCGCCACGCGCAGTGCATTTGATATTGATCCACTTAAAACGCTATGCTTTTTTAGCTCTGTCGGCTGACTAAGATGAAATAGAGAGAAATTCTGTTTCAATCTTTCGAATTCTTTATTATTATGATTTTTCATTACAATATTGTAGTTTTTGTATGCGGAAAATAGCAAGAATTTTTGTTTCAATTTATTTAAAGCAACTCTATCTATGCCGATCTATTTCTTTAAAGATTATTGTTTGATGATATGTTCTGTGTGCCTGTTACTACTCAATTCATGAGGGTGTGGGTGTGCGTGAGGTGTGCGTGTGCGCGAATAGAAGACCCACACCCGTATACGTTGCACAATTCATTTTTCTAACACTGCTATGCAAAGAACGCATTCAAACAAAAAAGAGATTTAAATCGGATCAATGAAATACATATGCAAGATATCGACATCTTTGGAAAATTAAGTTTAGTATATCAGTACCATATGCTTCATTATGAAATTACATGAATTCAACGTTCCAGTTTTTATTAACTCAAGCATCAATAAATAAGCTAAACTTTCTGAGTGCATATTCACTATGAAATGAATGTGTACTGAAAATATCAGATGAATCTATACTTACATCTTTGAGTAAAAGCACATGCTATTTTCTTATAATCAATCGGTAGGCGAAACAATTTCATATCTTCGATAAGAAACAATGATTTATCTTTAAATTCTAGAATTTTAATCAATGCTGAGTGCCTTACTATTGATATAAATTTGAACATGTTCGGATTATGTTTACTCAAGGTATAGAATATATTAGTACAGTAGTACAGCAAAACTATTATAGTAATAATCGCATATCTCTGCTCAGAAGACCTGGAAAATCAAATCCTTGTAGAATATTTAATAGCTTATTGAAGTCTATCGTTTGAACATATACTTGATCAAAAAGTGATTTGATACTTGAGGATGTTCCCTCGTTAGTCTTTTTTTGAGGTTAGTTACTTCTAGTAAGTCGAAAAATATGCTTCTCAATTGTCTGTCGACTAGGATGTTCAACAGGAAGAATCTTCTCATAAATCTCCAGTGCACGCAAATAATAGTCCAGTGCCATCTTTAGCTGTTTCTGATTTTCATAACAAATTCCAATATAATTCAAACTATCAGCAATATGAACATGATCAGATGGATAAAATTTCTCATCAATTTTTAACGCTCGTAGATGATAACTAAGAGCTTCATCGTACTGTTCTAGATTGAAGAGAATGTGACCAATGTTACTAAGGCTTATAGCAATATCGATATCATCATATTGATATAATTTTTCTTTCATTTTCAACGCTCGTTGATAATAATCGAGAGCTTCATCGTACTTTTTTTGATTAGCAAGAACATTACCGATGTTGTTAAGAACATGAGCAATATCAACATGATCAGATGGATAAAATTTCCCTTTAATTTTCAATGTTCGTTGAAGATGTTCAAATGCTTCATCGTATTTTCTTTGATTAGTAAGAATATTGCCAATGTTATTGAGAACATGAGCAGAATCTTTGGTTCGTGCTGGTTTGTTTTGTATCATACGATCATATGCACGATAATAATATTCTTTAGCTTCATTCCATTCACCTTTAAGATGAAGAGCTCGGCCAATATTAAATTCAATCCAAGCATGATCTTCATCATTTGAATCCTCGAGTAATTTTTGAAAATAATTTTGTGACTTATTATATTCACCTAAATCACAGAATAATCTTCCAAAAATAAATAAAATACTTTGTTCTTCTGTTTCTTTTTGTCTTAATTCAATAAAATCTTTTGTAATTTGTTGTCCTTTATTTGAAAGACTCATTGTAATTGTTTGAAATAATTCATTTTCTTGAATAGATTCGATTTTAAAACAAACATTGAAATCAAATAAAACTTCTTGTTTATTTGAACATTCATTAAATTGATCAATATCAGCAAAACTAATATTTTTATCAATTTGGTTTATATCACATTGAATATGGAAAAGAACAGGAATGACATCAACTCTCTTTGTTGGTTTTTGTGCCATATTTATTGCTGATGATAATCGTTTAGTAGTGGTTAAATATCCATTTGTTGAAATAAGTTTTCCTCGATTTTCTTTCAATTTATTATATTCTTGTTTGTTAAGTTTAATTCCTCGATAAACATGCAGAAATCTTTCTTTTGATAATAAAATATTTTCATGTTCACGTTGAAGATTTCTAGAAAAATCAACAATAAAAAATCTAAGTTCATATAATAAATCAATATCTTGTATTCTTAATGCTTTATTAATTAATTTATAAATAAATGATTGTTTTGAATACCAAAAAATTGCATCTTTTGATTCATAATTTTGTTCAAATTCATAAATTGATTTCATTTCTTTTGTATTTCCACAATAATATTGTTTACATTTTTTAATCATTTGCTGTTTTTCTTTTTGAGTTCGTGGAAGACGAGCAATAACATAATGAAATAATTGAAACCAAAGAAACTCTGCTGATTCTTTAAATAAATCTTTAGTTAATTTTTTATGTTGATCAAAAAAAGAAAATGTTTGTATTTGTTTATAAACAAAATCAATTTGTTCCTTAATTGATTTACATAAATCATCAAAAACAGTATAAATTCCAATAATTTTTGAATATTCATTTAATAAATATTCATATCGATTTGTTTCTTTGCTAAATATGAAAATTGAATCAATTTGACGAAAAGAAGAAATTCGAGATAAAATTTGTGTTGCTTCTGCTCCTAATGTAATTAAAAAGATTTTCTCTTTATTAATTGATTGAATAAATGAAATACATTCTTCAAGATTAATAAAAATAATGATATAATCAATAATTAGACGAAGTCGTGCTATTTGTTCAGTATCTTCACGTAAATTACTATTCGGATCAAACCAAATAAGTGTTATACTTTCTTTATTTTCTTTATTTATCAATAATTGACTATATTCAACACCATTTGTTCTTCTATTATCATTCATTATTAATACTTGTGCCATAATTACTGAAACAAAACAAAAAAACTTTCTCATCAGTTAAATTCAATTTCTAAAGGGTCATGAACAATATATATATAAGTATTGAAATGAATAAATATTTCCTTCAATCAACATCACAGGCATTGGTTTCTTTTCTTTCTTCGTTTTCTCAATACGAAGTATACGATCATAAAAAAGAGCGATCTAACATGCAAAAAACAAAACAACGATTTACGAATGTGCTTGTTTGACCTAACTTTGTTTTGTGCATATTGTTGCTTGGTAAATTATTTTGTTCTGTTCTTTTACAGAAATTAAAGCGAATCTTTTTTTACATGGTTGAATAGAACTCGTCACGTGAACTCTAAATATGTGGCTTTTAACCAAGGGGGAAACGACGTACTCCTGTACTCTTAGAGTACACAGAGTCCACTGAAGTATACGAAGTCCAGTAGAGTCCACGAAAGTCCAGCAGAGTACAGAGTCCAGCGTAAGTACATCAAGAATGAACGAAAAATCGCATTGTTGTCCCGATGATTGGACTTCTTGTACTTCATGGACTTCACGGACTTCACGGACTCAGTTGGTACTTTGTGGACTCTATCTGTAATTTGAGTACTTCAGGGACTCTGAAACTGCCACGAGAGTCCAGAAAGCCCAAGAGTACAGCGTTTTCCTTTGGACTCTCTGTACTCAGAGTCCATGAAAGTTTAGTCAGAGTACACGGAGTCCAATCAAAGCCCATGGACTTTGTAGAGTACGAGAGTACGTCGTTTCCCCCTTGCTTTTAACACATTCCGAATGTGTTTTCGTAGCATAACTTAAAAAAAGTAGATTCAGAAAAGTCAGAAGCCTATAAAAACTGGAATAGGCTAAAAATCTCATGTCTCGCTCGACTCGATATAAATTCGATTTTTTCTTTTGATTTTTCTTGTCATATGATTGGAAAAAAATCGATATGTATTTTTTGAAAAGTATGGTTTTAATGTTGAAAGAATCAATTTTTGGGATATGATGGTAAAACACGATAAATACGGATTTGTATTCAGAGATTTTGATCATGAAATCTTTTCTTTTTCAAATCAAACCAAAATCATATTCATAGTCAACAAGAATATTTGCGTCGAATCGATCGATACTTGACGAAAAATAGTTTGAAGTATTGAGTGTACGATCCAATGCATCTATTTTTAATGATTATAAATATAATGTTCATTTCATTTGCAACAACAGTTCTTATAGTCAAAATCTCTGAGAATGAACTCGTATTTATGGTCTTTTGCCATTATGTTAAAAAATTGATTTTCTCAACAATTAAATAATAATTTTCAAAGAACAAAAAAAAAAACTACGACGAGAAGAATCAAAAAATTGAAATTGAATAAATATCGAGCCTAGCGAGTCTTGATACTTTTGGCGTGTTTCAGTTTTTATCGATTTTTCTGATTTTTTTTTAAACCTACCTTTCTTAAGCTTGGCCACAAAAAAACAATGTTTGAATGTGTCAATGCAACATCTCTACAATTAAACTCGACGAGTTCTGTAGAATCATGAAAAGAAACACACTTTTACTTGAATTTCGAGATACCTTATAAGAAAGAAAAAAAACGGCAACAAATTTCAAAACGTTTTTCATTTCTTCATTTTTCCACGGTTTTTTTTTTCAATGACATTAACGATCAATGGATACATAAATATGCGAAAGAATTTTGCTTTGTTTCATAGTAGATTGATCAAAGAATAGACTAAAACTTTGAAAAAAAAATGCTTTATTAAAGAAACGAACAATTTCAAGTTTCTTGTTTTTTTGAAAAATAAACTCGGAACTGAATTATTTACATTATTTTAAATATTTTTTCAAAGTAAAGCTTTAAATATAAAATCAAACGAGAAAAAAAAATGAACGATTGTTTTTTTTCTTTCGAAATCGATTAGAACATTTTTAATATCCAAATAAATGAATTTGAATTGCAAATCTATTGAAAATTTCAATTTTTCTTGTTTAAGTACTAAATACTTTGCAACACTTTTTTTCAAAATGATGAATTTAAAATAATGAAAAAAAGACGTAGTTGAAAATCTTTATGAAAAAAAAAAAAAAAAGATACTTCATCATTTTAAAGAATTTATTTAAACGAAAACAGAATTATGTAAATTAATGAAGATATGATAAAATTAAATTGTTTGAATGTTTTTATCGAAATTCATTCATATGATGTTTTCGTTTAAAAATTTATTGCAGACTTTCAAATGTACTTAAAAGAAATCGAACAATATAAAGTACAGAATCTAACGAGGGAACCTGTCCAGGTGTTAAATCGCTTTTCGCTCAGGACGATTGCCATTCGATGGGTCCTAGTGAGCAGTGAAAAAGTCTATCTTGGTTTGAGTGCATGGGCCTCTGCGACTGAGCTATTGAATTTTTAGTGAATTTTTCCTGCAGGACCCCAGTTTTCCAGCAAATATATTTTTTCGAATTTTGATCTGAA